CCCATGCCCATGGTAAAAAAAGAAAAAAAAAATAGAGAAAAAAATAGCAGGAAAAACAATAGTAGCCACAGGCCCCAGATGTGAGCACTCTTACCACAGTTGGTTTGGGGAAAGGAACTTGAGCAGACTAGGAGCGTCAGGAGCAAGAAGAGCCCAGCCCTCGCCCCAGCTCCACCTCCTACACACAGCCGCCATTAACAGCATCACCCAGTATCCTTCCAGAAGTTTTCCACACACATACAATACGCAGCACGCTCAGCCAGGCATGGGGGCACACACCTGCAATCCCAGCACTCAGGAGGCTGAGGCAGGAGGATCACTGTGAGTTTGAGGCCAGTCTGGGCTACATAGCGAGACCCTGCCTCAAAAAATGCAAAAACGAAAACAATGGGCAGCATGCTCCTCATCACATACACACAGGAAGGCATTGTGTTGAGGCAGATGGGCCCTGCGCCCCTATCTCTTTGCAGCTGGATTGAGCGCGAAGGAGAATCTCTCAGAGCTCATTCCAGACAGACAGATCCTGCTCAGTCTCAGGGCCAGCACCACAGCACCTCGCTGTGCACAAGTAGTCATCCCCACACAGCAAGGTGTCCCCTGTGCTCAGGAGCCCCAGCCAGACATTAAGACCACAGTAATAGCAGCGTCAGGCATCCCCGCACTCACGCTGGGCCAGGCCCCCTCATCTGTGCCTTACCCAAGTTGCCCAGAGTCACCTTTAGGACAGTCTTAAGAGGTGGCTGTTCCACTGTGAAAGGACCACAACAAGGTAAAGAGAAATGTGTGCTGCAGAATGGCCCAGGAAATGACTTCACTTTTGTGAAATAAAAATAAAACAGTCAGGCCAGGAGTGGTGGTGCATGCCTGTAATCCCAGCACTTGGGAGGCTGAGGCAGGAGGATTGTTGTGAGTTTGAGACCAGCCTGGGCTACAAAGTGAGCTCAAGGCCAGCCTGAACTGCCTAGTGAGACCCTGTCTCAAAAAGATAAAACAAAATAAAATAAAATAAAAATCAGTGTATGTCTGCACATCCCCATATATGTGCATTTAAATTGTATTTATTTATTTATATGTACTGGGGATTGAATCTGGGACTTTTGCACTAAACTACATCCCCAGCCCTTTTTTACTTTTTATTGTAAGATGAGGTCTCAATAAATCCCTAAATTCCCCAGGTAGGGCTTGAGACCCTCCTGCCTCAGCCTCACAGAGTGTTGATATTGCAGGTGTACACCACCACACCTGCTGCTACCTAAATTTCTTAAATGGAGGACCGGGGTTATAGATCAGTGGCACAGCAATTGCCTGGTATATGTGAAGCCCTGGATTCCATCCTCAGCACCCTCAAACTAAAAAACTCACTAAATAAAATTTTAATGGAAAAAATATGCACAAAATGAGCTATTAATGGTTATAGCTAAGGCATCATATTGGGAAGGAAAGTGAGAGGGTGACATTTTTCTAGAGGACTTCTTTGAGAGAATATACAATTAAATATACATTTACTATATGTGTATATATCTGTATAAACATTTCATACGTAATTTGATGAATGTCTTCCAATTTGATAGCTAGAGCACATATATTTACATAAAAGTAATCTTGGGGGACAAAAGCAATCTGGGAAAATAGACACAAATCCAAAGGGACAGTGGGAAGGGACAGGGAGGAAAGTCGGGACCAGACTGCACTGACAAGGACTAAAGTGCAGATGAGACCACAGTAAGAGGACAGCCGGGGCCTCGCACAAGAACAGACAGACCAAGAGCTGGGGTCGAGGCTCCTTGGCATCGTGCTCGACTAGCACAGGTGAGTTCCCAGCTCTGATTCCCCAGCAGAGCAAAGAACAGCCAAGCTGCGTGATGAGACCCAGGCTTATAAACATGAATTTCACATATGGTAAAAGGAGAATTGTTTTCATGGTAGATCAATGAAACAAGTGGCTGATCATGTGGAGAGGGAAGACCACACACAAACAAAACTGCCACGGGAGTAAAAAAATGTAAAACCACAGAGCAAACCACAGAAGAAGCAGGAGAAGCCAGGCACGGTGTTGCACACCTGTAATCCCAGCACTCTGGGAAACTCAGGCAGGAGGATCTTAGGTTCAAGTCCAGCCTGGGCAACTTAGTGACTTGTGAGACCCTATCTCAAAATTTAAAAATACAAAAAGGAGCTGAGGATGTAGCTCAGTGTGAAGGCCCTAGGTTCAATCCCTAGTACAAAAATTTAAAAAAAAAAAAAAAAGAGAGAGAGAGAAACTATAGGTAGCTAATAGTTTATACAAACTTGGGAACTTGAAGAGGGAAGATTTTCCCATCATGACATTGAAAGAAATCACCTGAACATTTTGTTTAAAATCCTGTTAGGCTTGACTATATTTGTCAATAATAATGACTTAAAAATAACAACTGTCAGAGTAGGGTTGTAGCTTAGTGGTAGAAAACTTGCCTACTATGCAGTTCTCCAGCACCACACACACACACACACACACACACACACACACACACACACACACCCCAAGTACAGTGGGCTGAGGTTCCCGTGACCATGTGACAGATGGAGAAACTCAAGCTGCCAAGACCCCAATATGCACAGTCAGGGGAGATGGGGGCCACACTCTACTCAGCTGCCCCAAGCCTGGGCTGTCCTTTCCCTTCTCAGAGCCTGGTATCCTCATTCATGAGCTGGGGATGTCACCTGCGGGGAGCAGCTGAAGCTGGAGGTCTATCACACACGCGGGGCTGGAGCAAGGCCCTCCAAGAACAAAGAGTGGCCGTGGCGAGCCACGTGAACAAGCTGCTCCAGTTCTAAGCACACGTGTACCCCAGGCTACCATGCAGGCAGGTTGCTAGGCAGAGGGGTGTCAAGTGACATCAACCTGCCCAATGTATAAATAACTGTGCTGCATGGTTGAGCGGTTCCTTTCCTCCCATCTGGAGAGAGGGCTCCACCTGACCTCAGCTTTCTGTATTCTGACTCTTTATTTCTCCATCCTCCCACCATCCTTCCCCCTGGGAACTTCAATAGCTGCACTGGACACAGCAGTCACCTCCACCTCCAAGGGTGCCTGGGGTAGTTTAGAGTGAGGAGACACAGGGAAGAGGGGGTCAGAACACAGCTCAGCTTCCAAACCCAATTGTATCCTCCTTTCCAGTGCTAGAGCTGGAACCCTGAGCCCCCTCCATGTGAGGCAAATGCTGAAGCCACGCCCCTGGCCCTCTCTGTCCTATTTTATCTACTCTCCTTGCTTTCCCCCTGGTTCTGCGCTGGCAATCTATATCTAAAATTTGTCCACCAAGGTGTAAGATTTAGGGTCAGAAATCCTGAATTTTCCTTTTGTTCTTGCTATGCTGGGGAAGGAACCCAAGGCTTCACACAGGCAAGCAAAGCTCTCGCCCCCTAAGCTGCACTCCAGTCCTATGTCCTCGTCACGGATCCAGTTTTATGAATTATCTTCACACTCTGCTCCAGATACATTCTGATCACTGCACGTAGATGTTCTTACACAGCCGGGAACCTGGAAGTGCCGGGGTTAGAGGGTTCTCTCAGGGTTAAGAGAAGAAAGGGTGAAAGAGAGGCTGCAGGTCCCTAAACATGAACCTCTATATCCTCCTGTCCATGTAGCTAAATCGTCCTGACCCACTGAGCCTTAATTTCCCCAGCTGCCAAAAGAAACACCCGCCCTGATAGTCTCGAGGGTCACATGGGGCTTGGACACTCCCGCACCCTCCGGGAGGCCCACAGACGGGACTTACCATGGAGAGGATGACCAGGGCGGGGAAAAAGCCCATCACCACGTAGCACAGGAGCTCCACCAGTTTGTACCTGGCAGGAAGACAAGCCGCGGTGGCCTCAGGACAAGCCCCTCAGTGAAGAAACAGCACACAGCTCCCCGATGCTGAGGAGAAGGGGATACCCTGAGAAGAAAGGGCTCCCTCTGTGCAGCACTCCTGGGCCCAGAATCTACCCAAGTGTTTATTTGTTTGTTTGTTTGTCTTTTTGAGACAGGGTTTCACTATGCAGTTCAGGCTGGCCTCAAGCTCCTAGCGATCTTCTTGCCTCAGCCTCCTGAGTGCTGAGATTACAGGCATGCGCTACCATAGCTGGCTACCCAAGTTGTTTCTATACCAACAGTGTTGGCAGCTGTGTGACCTAAGGCAAGGCTCTTTTCCCTCTCTGACTCAATTTCCCCACATGTAAAATGAGACATTGGACCTAGAATAAGGACCTCATAGATTGGGCATAGGAGGTATGATTGAAAAACAGGGTTAAATTTTTTCTAAAAAATCATTCCAGTAAAAAGCACGTTGCCAGGGCTGGGGATTTAGCTCAGTGGCAAAGTGCCTACCTGGCAAGCACAAGGTCGTGAGTTCAGTTCCCGGTACCGGAGTAAAACCAAAAAATAATAATAGTAATAATAAAAGCACATTGCCATTAATCTCCTCAGAATCCTCCCCCTCGCTTTAAACACATTCATCCCATTATTCTTGCCCCTTTCTGAAGCAGCTCTGGAGTCTTCTTTCATGCGAGTCTTTAATTGTGCTGTCATGGCTGCCTCAATGTCCTGAATTGATTCAAAATATTTCCTTTTCCTGGTCACTTTGACTTCAGGGAAGAGCCAAAAGTCACTCAGTGCCAGGTCTGCACTGAGGGGTGGGCAAGGACACACCATCATCTTTATGAGCCTGCCTTTCTGTCAGAGGACACTGGACAGCAGCATGCACTGTTTTTTTTATCACACCCTGTGAAGACACTTAGGAAAGAGTACTTCCAGAGCTGCTTCAGAAAGTGGCAAGAAGGATGGGATAAGTGTGTTCAAAGTAGGGAGAATAGTTTGAGGAAGATAATAGTAATGTGTCTTTAAATGTAATAAGTTTTAAAATTTAAATATTCACCATACATTCCTATCACATCTGTAGCAGACATGTGGATGCTACAAAGGCTCAGTCCACAGCAGACATCACTAGCTGATCCCTGTCTCTTTCCCCACAGGACCTATGCAGCCACTCTTAATCGAGAGAAGTTGCCTATTCACATGATCTCCATTTGCTTCAGCAGTAGAATCCAGGCAGAGCTGCACGCTCACTTTTCTAGGATCACCCTGGGGTCTCACCTACCCTGCAGGAGGAGGCCCTGCTGGAGCATCAAGAAGCACCTCACCCACCTGAGACTCTGCCCCTGCTTACCGTTCATGGAAGAAGAAGACATAGATGGTGCCAACAGAGGCCATAATCCAAACCAGCCAGCGCATGTGGGAGGCCCAGGGGCCCAGCTCCCGAAGGTTCAGCCTGGCAGGGAAAAAACCCAGGACACAGCTTGAGAGGCCCATTGGGACCCAGCCCTTCACAGCCGCCTGTCACCTGAGCTGACCCAGAGAGACCCTGTCCCTTGGGCTGCACAGGGCACAGGGGTTCTATGGGGAGACTGTGGAGGGGGCAGAAAGGGTCCCTGGCAGTCTGAATGGCTAACAACTATAGGCTGAGAATCCCTTATCCCAACGCTTGAGGCCAGATGGGTTTCAGATTTTGGACCTTTTCACATTTGGGGACATCCGCATGTACATAATGAGATATCGTCATGATGGCACCGGGAGAAATTTATTTGTGCCCCAAATAAACACCTTCTACCCACTGCCCGAAGGTGCTCTTCTACAGTATTTTTAGTACACTTGTGTTTTGAGTATGACCCCACTCAGGTGTGGAGTTTTCTATGCGGGATGTCCCACCAGCACTCCAAAAGTTTCAAATTTAGAACATTTCTGGTTTTAAATGTGCAGATTATGAATGCTTGACCTGTATCAGAAGAAAATCAGCAAAAATGAGCATGTCTAGGTGTGGAGGGGAAGTGGAATTCAGACGAGTGGGCACATAAATGAGTGAAGCCTGTTTGGAGGGCACCCGGCGGACTCTGTCAAACTTTGAAACGAACCGCGCGCTCCCAGAGCGCCAGCGTCTGCAGCGAGCCAAAGAGACGCACGAACACATAGAGAGGAAATCACAGGCTTGGTCGCCAGGAGAAAAAGGCAAAATAAACATAGTGTCCGTCTTAAAAACAAAAACAAACAAACAAAAAACCCCGTGGCATCCGTCTGTGCTTATTATCAACCTTTTGCCTCAAAGCTCGGAGCCTACCCAAGTTGGCCTTGAAACACGTAGTCTTTCCGCGCAGCAGATGCAATGTTATGTTTTGACGATAGGTGGCGCTGGAGAGAACGGCGCTACCTCTCGGTTTTCCGTGCTCTCCAGCCAGGCCCCCAAGAGCCAGCTTTTCTTTGAACGGTTAAACCCAGTGCGTTCTCCAGCGGTAAGGTGCCCGCAGGGCGCAGCTTTCTGCAGCATGTGGCCTCGGCGTGCATCTCCGGAGCTGCGGACTCGGAAACCGGCAGGGGCGAGTCCGAGGCCGGACAGCCGCTCCTGCACCTTCTCATCAGCACCCCCATGCGACATCCGGCAAGCTGACTGCACAGAGATGATGCTCAAGGTCCTGTCCTGGAGCCTCTCCCACCTAGGGCTGGTGCCTGAGCTCTTCTAACAAGGAGTAAACACTAAGGCTCAGCACCTCCTGTGAAAGCCTTACCCCTAAGGGTTCAACTGCGCCCTCCTGCGTGTGAAACTGGACCTCAGACAAGCGGGTTGGTCGCAGGCAGGAACCTCTCCATAGTCAGGCCCCACGCCTCGTCCTCCCATGAATAATCCCTGATATTGTGGCCGGGTGGGGTAGCTTGTGGTAAGCACGCAAGAGGTTCTGGGTTCAATCCCCAGCACCCCCCCCCCAAGTCTTTATTTTTATTTTTTAAATTTTTTTGGTTTTTTTCCGGTACTGGGAATCAAACTCACGACGTCATGCTTGCCAGGCAGGGGCTGTGCCGCTGAGCTAAATCCCCAGCTACCCTGCAAAGTCTTGATACTGGGTTTTCCTTGCTCAAATCATTTTGTGATTTCTGCCTTCTGACCAGACCTGGCCTACTGCACCATCCTGATGCACACAGATTTGAAAAATATGAGGACAACCTGTTTGGACCAATATGGACAAATCTCCAGGACATACTGACAGGTACTGGGGGAGAGGTGGGTGAATTAAGAATAACATGACTTGGGGCTGGGGATTTAGCTCAGCGGCAAAAGCGCCTGCCTGGCAAGCGCAAGGTCGTGAGTTCGGTTCCCGGTCCCGGAGAAAAACCAAAAAAAAAAAAAAAAAGAATAACATGACTTGTGCATTATTTGTACACAGGAAGAAAGTAGTGAAGACACACAGAACAGATCTAGGCCCTTTCCCAAGTAGTTTTGTCTGAAAGGGGGCAGCTCGTGGCGGTGGTTGTTTGGGAAAGGATTAGGGTTACGGTTGGGGAAACAGGGAATAAAACTTCTGAAAAAAATGACCTCTTGCTCAGAGTCTAATTTGTCATTACAAAGAGGTTAACCAGCTGGGCATGGTGGCTCACATCTGTAGTTCTAGCTCTGGGGAAGCTGAAGCAGGAAGATTTCTTGAGCCTGGGAGTTCAAGACTAGCCTGAGCAATATAGGGAGACTTTGTCTCAAAAAATGTGTGGGGGGAAGTAGTCCAGTGGTACAGCAGCTGTCTAGCAAGTATAAAGCCTGATTCAATCAACACGGCAAAGTGAAATGAAAAGTTTTAAGTTGGAAAAAGAATAACCCATCTCATTATTCAAAATGGCCGACATGATTTTACATATCTTTCCAAGCAGATATAAAAGCAGGCCAGTAGGGTGGTAGTGCACACCCATAATCCCACCTCTCGGGAGGCTGAGGCAGGGGGATTGCCCTGGGTTTGAGGCCAGCCTGGGCTACATAGTGAGTTCAAGGACAGCTTCGGCTACATAGTGAGACCCTGTCTCAAAAAGAAACAGCTGGCCAATGGATACGAGGGTGGGTATTAAGATGGGATGGACAGAAGATGAGAGAAGAGAAACAAAAGGACAGATGTCATTTTTCATTACATTATATTAACTAGACACAGCGATACACACTTGTAACCCCAGCACTCTGCCCAGCCTGAGCAACCCAGCAACCTAGCAAGACCCTGTCTCAAAATTAAAGATGAAAAAGACTGGGGATGCAGCTCAGTGTAAAGGCCCTGGGCTCAATCCTCAGTACTGCAAAATATTAAATAATATAGATTAAATTAAAATGTTACATTTGATTTTACCTTGACTTTAACAGACAAAAGTACAACCCAACAAAATGGTTGCTGAACTTTAAGCAAATGTTTCTCCAACATAAATTTTACTTTGACTCTAAAAACAAGGAGATCAAATATGCACAGCATAAAGATGTTAGATTTTCTTACTATACATTTCCACAGTCAGTGCTATACAGTAAGTCCCCCAGTATAAGACACAAGCCAGGCATGGTAGCACGGCCTGTAGTACCAGCACTCTGGGAGGCTGAAGCAGGAGGATTGCAAGATTGAGCTCAGCCTGGGCAACTTAGTGACTCACTAAGATTCTGTCTCAAAATATAGAAAATAAAAAAGAGTGGGATGTAGCTCAGTGTAAAAGTCCTGAGTTCAGCCCCCAGTAACAAAAGCTGAGAGACAGAGACAAACAGAAACACACACATGCTTCACACACACACACACACACACACACACTCACACACACACACAGAATGAATCAGCATCCTCACACTTCTCCACCTTTTCTCTACAAATCACCCGGTTTCCTTACAGATACCAGTCGTTTTACACTCTGGCGTTTGCAATAATAACATTCCATTCTATAACCGTAATTCACACAGCAGTCTATCATTGGTTCTTTTTTAATTGAGTCGATATTCACTATCATTTTTGAGATATAGGTAGACAGATACTGGGGATTGAACCCAGCCGCTTTCTAACTTTTGAGACAGGGTCTTGTGAAGTCACACAGACTACACTCAAACTTACACTCCTCCTGGCTCAGCCTCCCAGAGTTCTGGGATTACTAGGCACGCACAATATTCATTTAATTGGCTAAGTTTTGTGGTCAAGGCACTTTTTCCAAAGCTTCTCAAAAGTACCGTATTCCCTGACTCCTCTCGTGTGTGACAGGCGTTTCCTATGGCTTCATGTCTGTGTGACCACCTCACTAAATAGCTTATCCTGAGGTCTGCCTCTGGGAAATTGCAGAAGAGTTCCCGTTGTGTTTCAGCATTAAATAGGATTGTGGTCACAGTGAGGAGCCAGCCTAATTTTTTTCCCCTTTGTAAGGTTTTTTTTTTTTCAGTCTCCATGCTCAAAGTATGTGGCTCCGTCTTTCATTTTTATAAACTTCTCTCTGATTGCTTTAAATGTTGGCTATCTAAAAATATGTATATTCTCTCTGATAGTCCACACTCGACTCTAGTTTCCGACTGTGTTGCTAAGCGGACTTTATTCATTCTATCGGGAGGCAGCTTCGCTCCTCAGTTTGTCCCTTTAGGTTTGTGGTCACCATCTTCATTTCCATAGGTTTTTCATCACCTTGGATTTGTGCTCTTGTTTAACTGCACTCACTTTTCGCTAATGGACATAAAGTTCTTGCAGTTCTTCACACCCGGAAGTCAAAACAAGTTGGAGCAGGAAGTAGTTGACAGGTGGGGACAAACGGTCTGCACCTGTCACTACCTCCAACCCCAGTGACACAGGAGGAGGATGTAGGTGACCAGCACAAGCTCGGAGACCAGCATGGAACGTGCACTTGTTCCAACACCCAGAGAAGCTGGAGGAGGAGGAGACCCCAGGTCATCAAGGTGAGTAACCATTATGGACAAAGAATGTGAGCGATGGCCTGGGCACTGCCCGCCAGATGGCGCTATTTCTCTTCCGCCTTCTTGGGATTGGTTGTGAACAACCTCGGCACCGCACGGCAGAGGGCGCTGTCTCGCTTCCCGCTTGAAACAAGCCAAGAAAGAAAATTCTGAAAATCAGCAAAGCTGACAATCCAATGCCGCCCTGGCTGGGACGCTCAGCCTGGGCCCTGGAGCCGTACTCCTGCCCATGTCACCATATCACCTTCCCAGCGAGCCTTCCAGAGTCCCCTCCGTCAGCAGGACGCCTTCTGTAGCAGGGAGCCTGCCGCTGCCCGTTCTGTCCAGAACTTCCAGATCCTGAAACCGCAGTGCTGAGCTGTGTCCGTCCCCCGTCCACAGGTGGGCACTGATGTGTCTTCTTCTCTCCCAAATAATTATAATTATATTTGTTTTCTTAAGCACCGGGGAAGGGAGAGTCTGTCCCTTGGTTTCACTATCTTTTTTCTTCTACTCTGCCCTGTGTTACATGGCTCTTAAAATACAAACACAAACTGAGGATTGAACCCAGAGCTACATCTCCAGCCCTATTGTGCTTTTTATTTAAGAGGGGAGGTCTCACTAAGTCACTAACTTACCTAAACTGGGCTTGGACTTGGGATCCTCCTGCCTCAGCTTCCCAGAGTGCTGGGATTACAGGTATGTGCCACCACACCTGGGCTGGACAGACTACCCTTGTCTCACTTCTCGATGCAGCTGGGGGCAAGGAGAGTGGGCCGTCCTTATAGGTCAGGAAACTGAGGCTCAGAGACGGTAATTTTCTGAAAGGCACACAGCTGGCTGGGGGCTGACCCAGGCCCCGAACGTGGGGCTGTAGCATTGATTGCAGAATATTCTCTCTCTGCCACACCACAGCCTTTCATCGTTCCTGCAGTCACATCGCACTCCGATCACCTGTCTTTAGAAAAGCATGGTGGCCGTGCCTGTAATCTCAGCCCCCAAGAGGCTGAGGCAGGAGGATCAGAAGTTTGAGGCCAGTCTGGGCTGCACTGCGAGTTCAAGACCAGACGCTGCTGTGAGTTCCAAGCCTTCGACTTTGGACTTAATCTTTCCGCTCTCCGGCATGCAGCGGTCCTTTTATATTCTTCTACCCCAGCATTGCTGGGAGCCGCTGTGCACTGCCTTGTAAATCCTTTATGTATCACGTATGTTTTATGCTAAATCTGGCGCTCTAGTGGACCCTAGCCAACACACACACACATTTCCTTTTTGTGCACAAAGTATCTCTAGAAGGATACACAAGAAACTGGTAAAGAGTAGTTGGTTCCTGGCAGGGAAGCAGACGTGGCGGGACTCTCCCCCGTCCCCTGATCCCCCAACAAGGGCAGTCGGCGGCGGCGGCAGGACTCACCAGGGCGCGTAGGAGGCCGCGATGAAGAAGTAGATGACCATGCGGTCCACCATGTGCAGGCAGTGCTCCACCATCCTGCGGAGGCAGAGAGAGGCTGGTCACGGCCCAGGGCGGCAGGAAAGGGCTGGGGCGCCCTGTGCCCAGCCCGGGGAGTGCAGTACCATCCCTGCTCGAGAGGGCCTGGGCTCGGACAGGCTGCCCTCACCCAGGCACAAGCCCTCGGCCTCAGCTTCCCCCTCTGTAAGTGACCAGAGCAGTGGGTATCAAGCCCAGCTCCTTGCCATTCTGGGGGCTGAGCGCAGAGGCCTTGGGGTTTCTGAGGTGACTGCTTCCCTGTCCCCCGGCCTTAATCAGAGCAACTCTTGTTTCGGTTTGATAGTCTGGGCTTCCCAAAGGATTCCGGTTGGAAAAGAACCCTGCGGCTTAAAAACGTGCACACACTGAAGCTGCATCCGCAACCCTACCGGGTTCTTGTTGGGAGCCCCCGAAGCTGGAAAATAATTACATGCGCAGGATGAAGCCAGCCCGGGAGCAGGGGAGCTCCTTGAAGCCCGTAAACAAGCAGCTGTAACTTGTTAACTGATTGCTGGGGAGTGAGGCGGAAATTAACTAACCTCTCAAGGGTTTAAATAAACGCTCCTACTGTTGAAGTCAGTCCTCCTGCTCATCAGGTAAGAGGTTACTCCACCTGACCCCGGCTATTGTCTCTTGTCTTTATCTTCTAAATCCTTTCTCCGTTTTCTCCCGGGGACCACGGAGTCCCACAGGTTCCGACAGCCCCTCACAAACGCTGACTCTCCCACCCAGCCACTTCCGCCTCTGTGACCGGGGACACCAGCAACCTGGCTGTGGGCTCGCGGAGGACCGCGCAAGTCAGCGCCCATCCCAGTGTGTGGCAGGCGGTCAGTGAGCGCCAGCTCTTCCCTGACCTCACCACGCAGTGAGCTGTGGCCTCCGTGCACGTGGCCAGCGTCGTGGGCAGCCTCCGGAGTGGCACTCGTGCCCTGCTCCTGTGGCTCCTGTCTCTCCTGTCCCCACTCACAGCAGCACGGCAGCCTCGCGGAGCAGCAAGCTCTCTTTCCCAGGCTGGACCCAACGTCACACAGCATCTGCCGCTGACTTTGGGGAACACCAGCCGCCCCATGGCTGTGGGGAGGCCCAGCCGCAGATGAACTGAGGTCCCCCAAACACCCAGCACCACCTCCCCAGCCAGGGGAGGGAGCTGCCTCGGAAGTGGACACCCACATGACACAGTGCCCCCCAACACCTGGTTGTAGGAGTGACCCCCAAGCCACGGTCCATCGTGTCTCACCCTCTGAGGGCCCAAAAAACAACAAACGTTTCTTGTTATTTTCAGCCACCACACTTTGGGGTATTTTTGTTACACAGCAATATATAACCAATACAAACTGTGATTCCATCCAGCAAACCGACCAATGATGCTACACATAGTCCAACCACAAACGTCCCTGACAACAATGATGATAGCCAATGTGTGTAGCCCAACCTGTCAGCACGGAGCTGCCGTGAGGCCTTTACCGGCTTTAACCGCAGCCCTGCCTGCCAAGGAGGTGCCACGATTTCACCACCCCTCCCAGGTGAGGACAGCAGCCACAACAGTGGGGATCGGGCCCTGAAACCAGCGACTGCATCTTCACAAGAGAAGAGAGAGGGGGATGAGGACACTGGACTCACAGGAGGAGGCCCGGCGAGGCTGAGGCAGAGACTGCAGTGACACAGCCCCGGCCAAGGGGCGCCGGGAGCTGCCGGGAGCCACCAGGAGCTGGCGGGGGCAGGCAGGGCCCTCCCTGGAGCCTCCAGAGGGAGCGTGACCCTGCCCACACCTGGTTCCCAGACTTCTGCCCCCAGAGCTGGGAGGAGCCTAAGAAGGACTCCAAAGTTAGGGGATCTGTGGGGAATAGGGAGAGGGTGGAGTGCACCGTGGGACCCCAGAATCCTGCAAGCAGCTCTGGCTCAGACATAGCTGCTTGTGGCTTGGAACAAGATCACCCCCTTCGGGGCCTCGGCGCCAGTGTCCATGCTGACGGGTTCTGCCCGCTGTACAGGCGCCTAGAGGGCATCAAGCGAAGTGAGACAAGCCCGCATCAAGGGACACACACTGTGCAGCTCCCAGGCAGGAGGCTCCCTGTGCCACCAACAGCCGAGAGACAGGGAAGGGAGGTGCGGGGCAGGGCAGGGTGAGCGAGGAGTCGTGTCTGTTGACGCAGAGCTCCGGCCTGGGCAGCGGTGAGGGCTGTGTGACAGTGTGGATGTGCTCAGTGTCTCCACACTGGAGAAGGGTTAAGGTGGCAAACTGTAGACTGATCTTCGGCTTGCTTTACAATTTTAAAACTTAAAAGCAAAACAAATCAAGGTTTTAAAAATCAGGAATTCAGGGGCTGGGGATTTAGCTCAGCGGCAAAGCGCCTGCCTGGCAAGCGCAAGGTCGTGAGTTCGGTTCCCGGTACCAGAAAAAAAAACAACAAAAAAAACAAAAACAAAAACAAAACAAAACAAAAAAAATCAGGAATTCAGCCAGGCGTGGTGGTGCACACCTGTAATCCCAGCACTCGGGAGGCTGAGGCAGGAGGCTCGCAGTGAGTTCGAGGCCAGCCTGGGCTACAAAATGAGTTGAAGGCCAGCTTGAACTGCATAGCAGATCCTGTCTTAAAAAAAAAAAAATCAGGGATTATCTTGAAGAGATTGGGGAAGGACATCTGGACAGTGCTGGGACCCAGGAGGTGCCAGGAGGGAGTGGCAGCAGGGCTGTACAAATGCCCCAGGGGTCGCCTGTCCTTGGTCCCCTCTGCAGACTCAGTGTCCCGCCCCGTCAGGGCCGGTGTCCCCTCCAGGGCGGGTGGCACGTACCTGAGGTGGCTCTTCTTCCAGGAGATGGTGTGGAACACGGTGGACACCACGAAGAGGCCGCAGAGCCCCAGGCCGTAGATCCAGGCGGAGATGGCCTCCCAGTCGCCGTCGGACAGGAAGTAGAGGTTGGAGCTGCCGAGGATGCTGGGGATGATCCAGAGCTGCGGGAGGGGACAGCTGCAGGGGCGCGCACTCGGGACCAGGGACCGCGTCCCGCCTTCCTCCAGACCGCGCCACGCGGCAGCCACGAGGTGGCCACGGCGCACGGGAAGGCGGCGGCACCACTGAAGAGCGGAGTCACTTCACTTCACTCGTGTTAACTGACTCTGGCTAAACTTCACAGCCGCATGGGGCCGGCAGGACCGGCCGGGTCAGCGCAGGTCCGGATCCTGCTTGGACCCTCCGGAGTGCGGGGACCGCGGCCCAGGCCACAGCCGGCCGAGCCCCACACCAAGGAGCCCCACGTGTGCCACAAGTCCGTGTCACCCGGCGGTCACTGATGTGCCCGCCTTGCCTCCCTGAAGTCCCCCAGTGGCAGCGCTCGGACGGGGCCAGCACCACCAGGAGTTTAAACAGTCTCGCCCGTTGTGAGCAGCTCAGAGGCGCCCCGTCCCCCGCCTCTCCGGGTGTGAGGCGGCCTCAGCCGGAGACTGCGCCTCCACCCTCCCTCCCGCTCTGCCCGGGCTCCCACGCTGCGGCCTCACGGAGGCTGTGCCGGGTGACAGCCTTGTCCCGTCCCCATGTGGGAGCACCACCGCCCGCTGGCCCTGGTCACTCCCGCAGAAGCCCCGCCTCCGCCTCCCTGCCGGACCAGGCCCCTGTCCCTGTGCCCACTTCCTCCAGGCCCCGTGAGCCCTTAGTGACAGGTACCGGGGAAGGAGGGAGGGAGGGGAGAGGAGGGAGGGAAGAGGGGGAGGGGAGAAGAAGAGGGGAGAGGGAGGGGGAGGGGAGGGAGGGCAGTGGGGGAGGAAATGACAAAATGACACCAGTGAATACTAAAGAGCCCGAAGGAGAGAAGCGGGCACGTGGGAATCCAGCCCTGACAACGTGCGACCTCTGGGGTCCACTGGAAACACTCACTGCAGGGCCGGGTACTGGGGGTCCTGCCTCAGTGGCACCCACTGCCAGGCCCTGGGGGACGGGGCAGCTCCCAAACACGCCAGCCACGTGCCTGCTGCTGACAGATGGAGTGTGGAGCACACCGATGGGGAGGAGGGGACAGGCTGGGTTTGGGGGGTACAGGAATCGAAGCTGGGCCTTCGCCCTGAGCTACATCCCCCGCCTTCTTTTTGATTTTTTGAGTGCTCACTTGGGCAGCACATGCGCTAAAGTATTTTTTGTTTTGAGACAATGTCTTACTAAGTTGCCTAAGTGGACTCCAACTCTCACTTGTCCTGCCTCAGCCTCCTAGAGGCGTGCGCCACCACACACAGCCCAGGGACAGTTATAGACGTTGTAAAATGACTTCCTTTCATCTGACTATCACTTTAAAAAATGCACAGAGACCACCGGAGCTTGTTCATCCTGCGGAGCTCGGCTTCTGCAGGCCGCCACCCGGAGGCCACCTGGGGTACCTAGGCTCATGTGCCTGGTCTTCCCTCCCCCTTCCCTCCTCCTCCCTCCTCCTCCCTCCTGTCCCTGCGCACAGCCCGTCCTGGCAGGAAACAGCAGAGCGCTGCCCTCACCCCGTCATCCCCACCCTGTGCTGGGGCGAGCTGCATGGACACAGCGCCCATAGCAACCACCCGCCCAGAGGTCACAGGCGGGGTCCTCAGCCTCTGGCTCCCAGGGCTGCAGGATCGGCAGCCGCCTCTGGGGGGAGCCCGGCCCAGGAGGCCGCATGTTGCCTTGGGCAGCACTCACACAACCGGGGGAATGGCTCACGCCCATTCTGCAGATGAGGAAACTGAGGCTTAGAGCTGCCCGGTGACACAGCTGACATTCACGGCAGATGCTCTCTGGGTGGCTATGATGAATCAGCTTATGACTTGGGTAAATCCCCTCCACCCTGCAACTGGGAACCACGTGGTCACCCCTCAGGTAATCTGGGGGGAGGGCACCACAGAGCTCCAGCTCCAAGGGCCGTGAGGGGAACAAGCACGCACAGAGCCGGGCCAGTGTGCGCCTGTGATCCCAGCGCTCTGGGAGGCTGAGGTAGGAGGATCGCAAGTTCAAGCCCAGCCTGGGCAATTTAGCAAGTCCCGGTCTCCAAATAAAAAGTCAAGAGGGCCGGGATTGGCTCAGAGAGAAGAGCCTGCGTCCGCTCCCCACTACGGTACAAAGGGAGGGACTGAGGGCGCAGGAAGCCCCGGCTCATCCAAACCCCTCACGGCCCGAAGAGGAGCAGACACGCTGTGTCCTGAGATACCGAGCCGCCCTCAGCAGGGACTCTGAAGAAATTCACACCCGCACTGCCAGGGCCAGAAGCAGAGCCCGGTGCCCCAAGGACACAAGGAAAGGTTTGTTGACTGACTGATGGATGGACTGGTCTCTCTACCTAAGCATATGGGGGGGGTGCCTCAGGGCTCCCCAGCGTCTGGGCCAATGGGAAGGCTTCTGGGGAGCATCCCAGCAAGCCATGAAAGACAGAAAAGGCTTCCCAGATGAGGCTGGGGCAGAGAGGGAAAACATTCCAGCTGTGGGCACAGCACATGCAAAGGCAACACGAGTGGGCAACCTGGGAGCCTGGGGACAAGCACATGGCAGCAGGAGCAGGATGGATAGGGCAGACCTGCCTGAGCATGTGCTGTGTGACAAGATGCTGTACCAGGTACTAGGGAGCCACGGAAGGTTCTAGAGGAAGAGAGGCACGCTCAGCTCCAAGTCCCCCAGTGCCCATCAGTGCCCTTCCCCCGTGGCTGTTGGCGGCCACGGGCGACTTGAGAGCCACCCGCCGAGCAGAGTTTGAGCATCTGCATGGGCCAAGGAGGCTACTTTTCCTGTCCCCACCTGAAACGTCCCCACTGCGCCCGAGCCCCCAGCCCTGACTCACAGCGTGGGTGGCGCAGTTGGCCGCGTGCTCGTACTCCGTGGGCTGGTACCGCTTGTGGGGCGGGACCCGGTGGTTCATGAACCTGGAAAGAGGTAGAAGTGGGGATGCTCAGCAGGGACACACGGCCATGGCGGGGTCCACGGCGGGAGGGGCCTCTCTGAACTCCTCGTCCCAGCCGCTGCCCTCCGGGACCTGCGCTGTCCCCTGCCATTGCCCTCCGCGCATGCGTGTTTATCACAAAACTTCGCTCACTGCAGCTGCTTAACTTCCAATGGGCTATGTCTCCCAAAACACCCGACATGCTCTTAGGACCCGACACGCTGGGCAAAGAGGGAAATTGCACTTGATCCATGGAGACTGTATGGAGTGCAGTATTCTATTTTTTTTCCCCCCCTTGGTCTTTTTTGAGACAGGGTCTTGCTGTGCAGTTCAGGCTGGCCTTGAGCTCACTGTGTAGCCCAGGCTGGTCTCGAACTCGCAACAATCCTCCTGCCTCAGCCTCCCGAGTGCTGGGATTACAGGCATGCACCACCACACCTGGCCTTCTCTCCTCTCTATTCTATTTTATTTGTGGTACTGGAGACTAAACCAAGGGCCCTCATACTGAGCTACCTTCTCAACCCTTTTTTCTTTTTAAATTTTGAGACAGGGTTTCACTAAGTAGCTAAATTGCACAGGCTGGGATCAAACTTTCAATCTTCCTGCCTCAGCCTCCCAGAATGCTGGGATTACAGATGTGTGCCACCACAGTGGACTTTTAAAATTTTCTTGAAGTATAACTTACAGTTTGACTCCCCCAAGGGTATGGTTTGATGAATTTACACACACACACACACACACACACACACACACACACACGAGACCATCCTGAAGGACAAAGCTCACTTCCTGCCCCCAAGAAAGTTCCCTCTGCCCCTCCCAGGGGAGGAAAACTCTCCCCAGAGAAACTACCCTCTGACACGGTCACTGAAGATTAATTCTTCCTGCTCTGGAACTTGCCATCCACAAACACACATCACACCCTCTTGTTCCTGGCTGCTTCTTCTAAGGAGATTTTTACAGGTTTCTTTGTGTTATTAGACACAGCAGCTGAGATTTTTTTTTCAGGGCTGCATAGTACTCCACAGGTTAACTAGACCACAGAGGGTTTGTTCAGTCTCCTGCAGGTGGTGCTGCACTTTTGAGCAACTGGGCTTGAATCTGCTCATGAAGACTTTTGTGCATATCATTTTTTGGTGAACATATGAGCTCATTTCTCCTGAGCTCAGATCTACGTGTGTAATAGCAAGGTGACTTTTCCTTAAAAATAAACAGTCCCGATGATTGATATCTTTGGAACTTCAGAACGTGGTCACCTCTGTCTGATCCCCCGACCCCCAGGACCTAGAAATCTGTTTTTCATCCTAGGAATGCCGAAGGCCTGGAACCTGTAGATGGTGGAGTTCCCCTGAGGCTTTGCCAGTGTCATCCACCAGAGGGCATGAGAGGCCACATCACCACACCAAACTCCGCCCTGAGTTGCCCAGAGCAGGGAGTGAGAGTGTGGTTCAGCGCAGAGAGCACACTGAGCATTTATTGAGCACTTTTTGTATGCTGGTGTCATTCTAGTGACGTTCACAGCACTCTGGCACCCATGTGCTGGCTCTGTGCTGGTACAGCTCACGAAGCACCACGGGCACCGTCTCTGCCACCCCAGGGATGCCAGTTTGGGCCGAGAGGGTGCAGAGCCGGCCGGGGTCTGTGGGCTCCCACGCTGGGACTTGCCCGGGCCCTGGGGTCCGTCTTCCTATGCACTGATGAGCCCAGGGGTCCAGGTCGGCCCCCCATCCACCTGCAGTGGCTCCCTGGCCACGTGGCCCATGGCCATGCACCTTGAGGTCATGTGACCAAGGCCAGTGTCCTGCTGAGCCCAACAGACAGAGAAAGCCCAGGCCCCCCGGCTCTGCCTCCCTGGCCCGCTGCGGTGCAGGGCCAGGTCCCAGCTGGGTTCCTGGTCCCAAAGGAAACGGGGACCCCGACGCAGAGCCTCCCTAGGGGCCCAGAACAACTGGCCCCCTTCCCACCTCCTTCGTGGGTGGCCGGGAGTCGCTGTGCCAAGACTGGCTCCTTAACAAATAGCAAAGACAGCGGTGTCGTGGCCAGAGCTCCCACACGCCCGGGCCATGGTCCTGACCCGTCGGGCCCAAGATGTGACAAGGGCGGACGAGGTCACAGTGCAGGACTCGAGCCCCTGATGCCACATGAGGAGGGTCCCTATCAGCAGGGGAGAGGGACACAGACCAGAGTGTCACAGGGAGCCTCGTGCAGGGACAAGGCCGCCACCCGGCCGCTGACAGCACACACAGGTCCTCAGCGCTGGGATCCTCATCCACCTGTCACCAGGCGCGGCCCGGAAGTCCTTTAACCCTGGCCAGCCACCCGTGGCACCAGTGGCCCAGCCCCGGGTGATGTCACGGTTGCCGTGGCGACCTGGGGCGCCAGTTATTTATTTATTTCTGGGCTTCACAAGGCTCCCCTTGTCTCGAGCACTGCAGCTATTGAGGGAGGAAGAAAGAGGGGCCCGGGGGGCCGGGCGCAGGACCAAGGCACGGTTCCCACCACCCCGAAGACCCAAGAACTGCTCCCTTAACCCCGCGAGGCCCAGCTCTTTCTTCACACACCTCCAGCTGGCCCCCTGAAGAAGGCAGGGAACTCGTTTTACATTTGAATTGGCCTAGAGTAAAACTCCCCGCCCTTTTCCTCTTCTGCCGCAGGGACTGAACCTAGGGCCTTCACTCTGAGGCTACAGCCCCAGCCCTTTTATAGTTTTTATTTTGAGACAGCATGTCGCTAAATTGTTAAATTGCCCAGGCCGGGCTCAAACTTGCAATCCCCCTGCCTCAGCCTCCCAGAACGCACAATTTCCTGTTTTGCCATACGGTTTTACAGACTGGAGTAAATGTAATCAGTCCTGGAACTATCACCACAATCAAGATAAACGACAGACAGACCCATCAGCTCCCCAAGAGCCCCAAGATCCACCAGCTCCCCTCAAAACACAGCTCTGCCCCTTACTGCCTACAAATTTGCCTTTTCCAGAATTCCAGATAAACGGAGCCAGACCGCAGTCACAGCTTTGAAAAAAATGTTTCAAGAGAATTTATTGCATATGTTAAAGTTCATCCTTAGGTGAAAGGGAAACTGAATCCCAAGCAGCTTACTTATTTTCTATTAAGATGTATTAATAAGACGTTTCTAAGCCAGGCAATGTAGGCCACGCCTGTAATCCCAGGGCTGTGGAAGGCTGAGGCAGGAGGATCACAATTTTGACCCCAGCCTGAGCATCTTAGTGGCTTAGCAAGACACTGTCTCAAAACTAAAAAAAAACTTTTAAGAAGAACTGGGGCTATAGCTCGATGGGTAGGCCCAGTACCACAAAAACAAAACAAAACAGATGCTTCTGAGACAGATTTGCTTTTACACAGTGAGCAGACCTCTCCTGGTGATTAGCCCCAACTTCCCCACCCATTCCCGCAGGCCGCCTTTCCAGCCTGCTGTCTTCTTTAGCATGGGGCATTCATTCGCGTTTGTCTGTGTGACTGCATGTTCCCTTCTTTTTATTTTTAATTAATCAATTTCTTTAACTTATTTGTTTTGGCACTGGGGACAGAACTCAAGGCTCCAACTCACTCAGAGCATGCTCAGCTTCGGCGGAGCCACATCCGGGCCCCTTCCTCTTCCGGGCAGAGTAGTACTCCCCTGTAGGACATGCCAGAGCTCATCAGTCCCCAGGGCAGGGACCTGAGCTCGGTTCTAAACAGGTGGCATGTAGGGGCCAGATCGAGGTGAGTGCAGAACGGAGCAGCCAGTCAGAGAGGTGACCTCAAAACAGCGCGATTCTCTTAGAAGAGCCTGCACCATTGTTGGTTACGTTGATGAGGAAACTGGACCAACCCTTGTAGCCTGGAGGACCACCCGGCCACGGCCACTTGGGGCCAGGATGCAGGGCCAGACGCTGGCACCTGACAAACCCAGAATGCTGAAACCCCATCCTGGAGGGGCTGGGGCTTTGCAGCTGGCACAGGGGGTAGGAGTGGGTGGCAACCCTCCTCGCGCCACTTGGCTGCTGTGTGCGCTGCCGGAGACAACAGGAGGGCCGAGGAGCAGCTGCCGGGTACGTGCGAGACGCTGAACTCCCGCCACAGCCTGCGGCACCACGCAGCCGACGCACACACCTCTCCTTCCGCTTCCCTGCCAGACTCCCGCAAACACACAGGTGCTTTTTCTTTCCTGCTGGTACTAGGGAGTGACCCCAGGGGCTGCTGGCCCTGAGCTACAGCTCCAGCACTTTGTATTTTTTCTTTTGAGACAGGGTCTTGCTAAGTTGCCCAGGTTGGCCTTGAACTTTAAGTCCTCCTGCCTCAGCTTCACCAGGCGCCAATAATCAAGCCCATCTAGGTGCTCCTCAGAGGGGTCCCACACAGGGACCCCAGAGGCCCCCATATTGTTCTCCATGCAAAGCATACAATGAAATATTACTCTGCCTTGAACAAAAATGAGGTACACGCACGCTACAGCTTGGATGGGCCTCAAGAACACTGGGCCAGGGACCAGGGTGTGGCTCAGCGGTGAAGCAGGTGCTTAGGATGTGCAGAGCCCTGGCTTCCATCCTCAGCAGCACCCAAACAAAACACAAAGCCCCACTATGGTCAGTGAAGGAAGGCAACAGAACAGGTCGCAGAGGAAACGAAACACACATTTGTGGCAGAGCAGCAGGACTCAGAATGATATCTTATTCTTAAGAATCCTTTTGGGGCCCCGAGGAAAGAGAGTAAGAGACTGCCTGTCGGGTCACAACACAGGGCCAGAGGAGGAAGCCTCCGCTGTGCGGAGGAGCTAAGCCGATGCGCTTAGGGACAGACAACGTGTCAAAATGTCTGCAGGGGGCCGGGGATGTAGCTCCGCAGCACAAGCGCCTGCCTGGCAAGTGCAAGGTCCTGAGTTCGATTCCCGGTACCAAAAAAAGAAAAAAAAAAAAAGATGTCTGCAGAGCCGTCAACAACCAGCAGCAAAACGCAACATGCGGTGAATCTCGCTGAACGG